GCCTTGAGGGGAATTTGTTCTTCAAATTTGGCACAAGTGTCCACTTGGACGCATTGATGAACTGATTAGATTTTAGTGGTCAAAGGTCAAGGTCAATGACCTCACTTCTGTCCCGTAATCATGAATTTGATTGGTAGGCAGAGGCATAAAACCGCGAAGCAGTAATTCTAGTTGGTTTTTGCAGAATTAATGTATGGAAGTTATTTTGTGTCTTTCCAGGCAAATAAAATGCATTTGACAGCAAAACTTTGGTGCTGCAATCAAAATAATGTTGGCTTCAACCAAAAACAATTTGGTTGTCAAATATGAACTGATTGAAATCAGAACTATGTTAAACAAAAATGTAATTTAAATGCAATTTATTTATTGTTTTATTTATTATTATTTTTTGGTCTGTTTTGGTTCTGGCTCTGTGTTGATGTCACAGTTCTTGCATGCAATGACCAACACATTGATCATAACTGGCTTATCACAGACCTCCGGCCAAAGCCATTAGCTTGTCACAGCTGTCACTCAGCATTGACAGTAGGACAGTAGGCCAGTAGGCACATATTATTACGTCAGCCTACCCACTGTATTATAATGTAAACTGCAACCAAAGTTTCTACAAACAAAAAAACTGCACTGAGAGCAAAATATACAGGAGCAACCAAAACAATTTGCAAACAGAGTAAAAATGTATTAAATTAATTTTTTGTTTGAAATCAAGATTGTTCTGATTTCACTGTTTGCATTGACATTCAAAACTTTTTTTGGTTGCAAATAAATTTATTTTGATCACAGTACCAACTTTTTGTTCTCAATAACTTTTTATTTGACTGCAGAATAAAGGCATAAAATAACCTCCATGGTACTGCTGCTCTTTCAGACTTGTAATTGTATATTTTATGCTTGACTGCAGACAGAGTATTGCATTAATAAGTAATTTCTCCTTGTGAAATGAATCTCAAGATTACAGCCAGGCCTGTACATATCATTTGTGTCACCCCATGCAAAAGGTCTGGCACAGTACAAATGATAAACCTCATAGATTCTTTTTATTTCTTGGCTCTGGTATTTTGTGAAAATTTTAAAGTGCTGACCAAAAAGTCTGACCAGAAAATTATGGTCAAAACAGAAACCAAATTTTAAACCTGACACTTTAAAACATTAAAACTTAGAGAGAGAGCTAAATGAATTTTCAAAACATTATCACCAAAATTGCAACATTATAAATAATGTTTTTGTCAGATTTCATTGTATATGAATAATGTGATGATCAAATTTGTTTGCTGTAATTTTGTACTCTTCTTTTTTTTTTTTTGTTTTTGTCAGCCTAAATTATTATAGTAATAAATTAATTAAAACAGATTCTGGCACATCTCTAGTGTGCAATTACTGAGTAACAGCCAAAACAAACAAACATTGAATAAATAAATATTTTTTTAAAAATCCTGTGTCCAGTATGTCTTCCAGTTGACTTGGCCAACTAATATAGAAAACTATTATATGTAATTTCAGATTTACTTCAAAGTTGTATTTCAAGGCATTACATCATAGAAAAAGTTTCTCTTATTCAGGATCAGTGCTTATTTTCCTCCTTTTCAATAAATCATCAAACGCTCATTTACCTGTCACTCTACCAGACATTCAGCCCATTTATAATTGAGTACAGGAGAACGTTAGTGCGGTACATAGGTGGATAGAAATAAGAAAATCGACTGTGCTGATTAGCTGTTAGTCAAACAGTTGATGCTGTATTGACGTTTCTAGATGCATATTGCAGTGTCTATAATGAGAAACAAGATGCTGGTTAATTGTTGTGATCAATCGAGTACTTGATCAGGGTCAGTGTGTTGGTCAGGTAGTGCTCTCATTGCGATCATTTTAAACCCGTCAACCTTTGTCTTCAATTCATTTTATTGACCTCCTTGCTTTCATGGGTCCTGAGTGCCAGGTCTTACATTTTCTTCTCTCTACATTTTACTTGTCTGCAAAGCGAAAAAAGAAGCAGTGATTGGTACAGTCATTGACATAATGCATTCCCTAACCCCTTAATATACCTTTTAACCTTTACAACTAAATGGCTAATTTCTTATACTTAACCCAGACCTAATTCCAAACTGAACCCTAAAGCCAAGTCTTGAAGGAGTGTCAGAAAGCGAGAACTGGCCACAGTGACCACACTTATGCTAAATGTCCTCGCTCCCACAGTATGAAATTCAGTCTTCACACTGCTGGCCATACAAAAGTTTGTGTGTGTGTGGGGGGGGGTCCTTCTATGTGGGCACTTCTTCCTGACTCTGTACCAACTCATGAGGTAAGTGATTGCCTGTAGCTAAAACGTTAAATGTGGTTTTGGGTTTCACCACAGTTTACTTCCCTCAGAGAACACATGAAGAAAGAGCTGCACATTAATACCAAGCTTTAAAGCAAACCTACAGTACCAGCAAACACAATCCTATTTTGCCCCTGGTTAATTTGGTTAAAAAGCAAGGAAACCAAGACAATGAGTGAGATGTATAAGCTTTGAAGTCAACTAATATATATATAATTAATTCCCCACTTGCCGACTTTTTGGGGCGGTCTTGTATTCCTTCGTTCAAGCTCGGGTCCTCTACCAGAGGCCTGGGAGCTTGAGGGTTCTGCGCAGTATCTTAGCTGTTCCTATGACTGCACTCTTCTGGACAGAGATCTCAGATGTTCCTCCTGGGATCTGTTGGAGCCACTCTCCCAGTTTGGGGGTCACAGCCCCCAATGTTCCTATTACCACGGGGACCACTTGTGCCTTCACCTTCCACATCTTTTCTAGCTCTTCTTCCAGCCCTTGGTATTTCTTAAGGTTCTCATTTTCCTTCTTCCTGATGTTGCTATCACTTGGGATTGCTACATCGATCACTACAGCCTTCTTCTTCTGTTTGTCCACCACTACTATGTCCAGTTGGTTGGCCATTACCAGTTTGTCAGTTTGTATCTTGAAGTCCCACAGGATCTTAGCTTGGTCATTCTCAACCACCTTTGGAGGTGTATCCCATTTTGACTTTGGCACTTCCCGCTTGTACTCGGTGCAGATGTTTATGTACACTATGCCAGCCACTTGGTTATGGCATTCCATGTATGCCCTGCCTGCTAGCATCTTGCACCCTGCTGTTATGTGCTGGATTGTCTCAGGGGCATCTTTGCACAGCCTGCACCTGGGGTCCTGTCTGGTATGGTAGACCTCTGTCTCTATTGATCTTGTACTTAGAGCTTGTTCTTGTGGTACATACCATGCAGGGGTTTGTCCTTCCATGACAGTTCCTGTCAGATATCCATCGCGTACTTCAAAAAGCACCAGAAATGGTTTTAGACAATGAGCTGGAGAATTCTGAAGTGGCCAGCAATGAATCCATATGTATCTAAATCCCATAGGGTGCCTGTGGAGAGGTCTCAAAACAGCATTTGGGAGAAGGAACCCTTCAAATCTGAGAGACCTGGAGCAGTTGGCAAAAGAAGAGTGGTCCAAAACTCCAATAGAGAGGTGGAAGAAACTCACTGATGGTTACAGAAAGCGATTGATGTCAGTTATTTTGTCCAAAGGCTGTGCTATCAAATATTAAGTTGAGGGTGTCAATAATTCTGTCCAGTCTCAGTGGCCTCTATCTCCTCCTTTGGCCAGCTTATTATGCCAGCGGGGTACCTGATGACCAGCAGGGGATAGGTGTTGATCGCCCAGACTTTTTTCCTCCCATTCAGCTGGCTTCTCAGGACTTGCCTTACTCTCTGCAGGTACCTGGTGGTTGCTGCTTTCCTTGCGGCCTCTTCATGGTTCCCATTTGCCTGCGGGATCCCATGGTACTTGTAGCTGTCCTCAACATCTGCTATGTTGCCTTCTGGTAGTACAATCCCCTTAGTTCTGACTACCTTCCCTCTCCTTGTTACCATTCGGCCACACTTATCCAGTCCGAATGACATTTCGATGTCCTGGCTGTAGATCCTAGTGGTGTGGATCAGTGAGTCGATGTCTTGTTCACTCCTGGCATACAGTTTGATGTCATCCATGTAGAGGAGGTGGCCAGTTACCGGTATATGTATGCATGCCGGGATAGCTCAGTGGGTAACACCACTGACTTTGGTACAGAAGGTCGGTAATACAACTCACTGTCCATACCTGAGGCCTTAGAGACTGCCAAGCAAAGGCTCACAGCCCTGACCACACGACTGAAGAGGTACACCAGAGAAGTTAAAGCCAGGAGAATAAACCGAATGTTCTCCACTGAGCCATCCAAGGTGTACTCTCAGTGGCAGGGGAATAACATGAGAGCAGACCCACCAAGGCTGGAGACTGGAGGCTTGAGACTAGACCATTTTTCTAATTATACAATAGACTTCTAAGTGTCAGCACCTGTGCTCATGTTAATGCAGTATGTGGATAAAACTGTTTTTATGAGATGTGGGAAACAAGATGTTCACTGTACGTTAATTGGATGCCGGCTCAGTCCTAATGGCCATCCTAAGCCTGAACCAATGAATCCATACAGATGTAAATTAATATTAGTTGTGCTTCTCATACTGAATACTTTATACTGGATTATAGCAATACCTGGATATGTGTAATTAAACTACATGCTGTATACTCTAGAGTTACATGACAAACAAGGAATGATATCTACCAAATATTAGTAGTTATTACATCTAACACATAATGTAGTAATAAGTAAAATGTTAGAATGAATATTAATGAGGCCACAAAATGCAGTCTCTAATGAAATGAGTCAGCAGCAACATCTCCAAGACGCTCATGCTGAGCACAGGGGCTCCACAGGGGTATGTGCTCAGCACATTGCTCTTCACACTGCTGACCCACGACTGTGTGCCAACCTACAGCACCAACCACTTTGTCAAATTTGTGGATGACACGACTGTAGTTGGCCTCATTACCAACAATGATGAGGCCAAATACAGGAGTGAGGT